ATAAATCAAGGTTCCTATGATCTCTTCCTTAGATTAATTTGCTAAAACAGTTCCCAGAACACAGGGAAACAAGTTTACTAGTTTGCTTTTTTATTTATTTATTGCAGTACTGGGTATTGAACTCAGGAATGCTCTACCACTGAGCTATATCCTCAACCCTTTTATTGTTTGAGATAAGTTTCACTAAATTTCCGAAGCTGTAACTTGCAATCCTCCTGCCTCAGACTCCCAAATTGCTGGGATTACAGGTGTGCACCAYTATGCCCAGCTCTATGGGATATTTCAAGGGACACAAATAAGCCAGATGACTAGATAATTTGGATGAGGTCTGGAAGAGAATAGAGTACAAGAGCTTTTATCTCTGTGAAGTTGACTCCCAATATCCAAGGGAGATTGGTTCCAGGACCCCCACAGATACCCAAATCCACAGATTCACAAATTCCTTATATAAGAGGCTGAGACAGGAGGATCATAAGTTGCTATTCTCAGCAATTTACCAAGGAACTTAGTGAGACTCTTTCTCAAAGTTAAAAATAAAAAGGGCTGGAGGTGTGGCTTAGAAGTTAAGCACCCTTGGGTTCAATCCCCTGTAAAAATAAATAAATAATAATAATAATAAATTAATAAAATTCCTTAAATAAAATGGCATAATCTTTGCATATAATCAACACATACCAACCATTCTATTTTAAATCATATSTAGATTACTTATAATACCTAATACAAGATAGATGCTATGTAAATAAGCCATTCTGTACTGTTTCGGGAACAATGACATGAAAAAAGTCTATATCTGTTTGGTATAGATACAACTGTCACAGGACTAACTACCTAATGTATGAAAGAGATGAGAGGCAAACAATGATCAATGCTTGCCCAGGGAGAATCTGTAACATGGAGAGAAGCCATAGGGTATGCCACACTTTACTTCATTTACACAAATTCAGTATAGTGCTTGCTATGTTTTTTGGAACTTTGTGGAATTTTTATTTTTAATCCATGGTTGGTAGATGTGGGTTCAAAGTAGATAAGGAGATATGGATTAACTATATAGTATAATATCATAGCAAGCTTCCTTGGAAAGTCAGTTTGAGTTTTCAGAATACTCCCTCAAGTCACCCCATTCCTGGAGGGTGTGGCCATAGAGAAGAAAAGCCCAAGTGATGTCCCCCATTGCCCTGCCAGCTGCAGTGAGTAAAGGAAGACCAGTAGTTTTCCCAAACAACTTCTGCTGTTCAGTGTCAACCATACCAGAAGTATGAAACATCAATACAAATTACAGCAATGACTTTCAAACACTTTTTTTTTTTGTATGTGTGTGTGTTGGTAGGAATCAAATGAAGGGCTTTATGCTCTACCTTTGAGTATTTCTCCAGCCCTAACTTTCAAACATTTTGACCACAACCTATAGCAGGAGAGATAGAAATATCTTCTAAATCAGTGTTGGAAAACTGAAGAAATAAAAATTTTGCAAAACATGAGCCCATATACTATGTGTAGTATACCAATATATTCCATTGTTTTTGTTGTTATTTTGATGTGTTTGGTGACCCATTATATCAATTACAAAATCCTCTAATGGCTTGCTGATGTGAGAGAAACATCTGAGTCTRTAGAATTCCTAAAAACAACATTTCCCAAAGAATTTCTTTAGTATGTGTATGTARTACTGGGGATTGAATCCAGGGCGCTCAACCCTGAGTCACATCCCCAGCCCTTTTTATTTTTCATTTTGGGACAGGATCTTGCTTAGTTGCCCAGGCCAGCCTTTAATTTATAATCCTGCCTTAGCCTCCTAAAACCTGGGATTACAGTCATGCACCACCACACCTGGCTCCCAAAGAATTTCTTATATTTCAGATATAYAAGTAATATCTATGTCTACTACCACTGCTAAACAAGATGGCTCTAGAAGAAACCTGTATATCTATATCTATCTCTAATGAAAGAATATTTTTGCTRGTCATCATTTATTATTTATTTTTTTACAGTCATCTTCAATTTTAGGATTTATATTCATTTTCCATTATGAAAATGCCTTAAAGATTTTTACACATATATTTAAATTTAAAAAGTGACTTAAAGAAAATTTCCAGATATGTCAAAAATCACAAATGTTTCTCATGTGTGTAAGTGTGGGAAACTGTCTTATTCCATTTCAAAATGAAATAACAAGGAACTGCCTTTCCTTAACATCAGGTCTGCTTTTGCAGAGTTTTACTAATTATTCTCAGGAAGTTTGGGTTACATGTCACTACATTAAATTACATTTGGCATTTCCCCTGCTGCCCTGAAACCAAGCCAGTGCTTTTGCTAAGCATTTGTCCTGCAATTTTGAGTTCAGCATCTGTTARCAGTTTTCTGTGTGGACCTTGAGCCACTGTGAGCTCACCTTCCCTTCTTGAAACCCTCATGTAGTCTTTCATTCTCTGTCAGGCTTTCAAGTTAATTATTTCCTGTGTTCTCTGAGTCTGTTCCTTATCCCCCTTCAGACCACCCTCTACTTTCTTTCACCTCTGCACACACTCTTGGGCTACCCCCACCCCCAACCTGCAGGTCCACAGCAAATGAGTCTTTGTCTCTTGGCCTGCATCTTCCAACCTTGGAGTTAATTCCTGTGGTGTAGCAATTTCAGAGCAAAAATTTGCCACATCTGTAGAATCAGAAGTTACTTTCCAAGTTCCCAACTTTTTAGAAACATTCTTTGTAACTTACTGACCTTTTGTTCTCTCAGTTCCTGTATGCTAGGTACTATGTGAGCCAGTCCACCCAAGATGTTTTCCCTCTGATTGCCAAGGATCTGCGGTATCAGTTATGCTGTCCCTCCTCTCAGGACTCCCACCTTGAGCTTGACTCTTCTCAGCAAACTTGATCTGTTGTTCATGTAACTTTTTGTTTCAATGGTTGTCCCATCCCTTCCCATCAAGGCCAGAGCCTCTATCCTCTATCTTTCAAAACTCAAGGGTGCTAAACTGAGCTGAGCTATATCCTATAAAAGCTTCATGTACAGAAGCCACTTTGGTCCTGTGGTATTTGCTTCCTTATCCCCATGCTCAGAAACCTACCCAAACTAGCCATTTCTGGTTTTCCAGTCTCAATCTCTCTATTATTTTTCCAATCCTGGTTGAGGTTTGTTTTAGGTCTATAACTCAGTCTTGCTTCCATTATTCATCATCCTTCCCTCCCCCCCCCTCCCAACTTCAGATTTTCTCTCCCCTCATCTCCACGTGAACACATGAGTTCTTTCACATTTCTTACTTAGTGTACAGTTTCCAGGCCATCTATTTCCAGTCTACCACAAATTAAATCATAAAAAGTCCTTACAGGACTGGGATGAGACTCAATGGTAAAGCACTTGCCTAGCATGCAGAGGCCCCGRTTTCAAGCCCTCATGCCGGAAAATAAAAAGCTCTAATAATTAGTTCATGTGTGTGTTTGAGTGTGGTGTATATGTAYACATTTAAAGTGGAAAAAGGAATATAAGTAGAAAATAGAGGTCCAACCTTGTTGCGGGGAGCAGGGAGAAGWGCATTAGAAACTCCCAGCTATTTTCTTGTTAATATGTTGAAAGTATCTCACCCTGCAAACCATATCTRCCTCATTTTCCGACACAGCTTAAACAAAGAAGAGCCTTGATGTTTATTGAGGATTTAGATAACTACTTCCCTGTTAAGAAGAGATTTTTAAAATTGTGTTTTCATTATGACTCCATCTCCATTTATTGATCAAGGGATTTCTTGCCTCACTTAACTCTATAATCTGTTGCTCAGATTAAGAAAATGTGAAAACTATTGTTTGGTAGCATGAGTACAGATTTTAAAGTGATACTTGGAGTCTGGATGATTCAAATAATATAATGCAAGAAAAGCAACAAATTGATCATGCAGAACATGTTTTTATGTTTTATCCTTTTCATGGACTGAACATCCAGTGAAATGATTCGGATTAAATGTTTTATAGATGTGCTCTGTTTTAAAAGAAGGGACTTCCTAGTGCAGTCACATCCAACAGAAAGCACTAAATCAAGAGATAGGAAACCATATATGTAAAAAGCCCTTCATAAACAAATGTATAAGCCATTGTTCATTTCAACACATTTTCAGCACCTATTATGTTCCTTTTTTAATGTAAGAGCAATGCTTATATCAAAACAGGATAATAAGTTCTCAGTTATTTGGAGCAGAAAARTGCCTTTATTTTGRTTTTTCCTTTCTTACAACTACCACTACCTCATATAGAGCTCTGCACATGAATTTTTTGGATGAAAGACCTGTATGTTCACTGTTTATCTTCTACCCTCTACTTTGCAGCCGGTTGGCCACTTGATTCCTCGTTAATTCTTTCTCCTGAGAATTACTAGGGAAGAGAAAGAAGGTGAACCTCAGGTCAGTCAGGCATGCTTAACCATAGAAGCAGTTCAATCTCGGTACAATAAACTTGAAAGACCTGTTCAAATTMTTTTGTTATTTCCGTTCTATCCAATTGGTTGAACAGCCCTGTGGATTAAAGCATGGCCATCCTCAAGGATGATATTTTGGTTCTTAATAGTAACCGAAACATAATTGCCCTGTCTCTAGATTTTAYGGGAAATTAAATTCACTGCAAGAATCTAACTGGAGGACAAAGAAAAGAGAACCATAACTTACTCAATTTTTTATTACATGAAAGAATCTGAACTGTGCACTTTACATTGCTTATTTCTTATGATTTATAGCTGCGCAGAAAAAAATATACCCACTGTATAGATGTTGAAACTGAGGCTTAGGTATTCTGATCAGTCTCTCAATTTGTAAGGAAAACCCTAGCTAACAGCCTCCAAAGCACAAAACCTATCACAAAGTAGGATTTGGAGACTGCTGGCAGTTTTTACTATTCTGTGCTGTCCGTAACTACTGGGGGTAATTKGAAAGCCGACCCCATGTTTCTTTCAAAAATCTTTTAAGAAGTTTGCTGCAGGAACTTCATGGATAATTCGAGAAACAAAATTTTTTTTGTGTGGAATAAAAACTGTATTTCAGGTTTTTTTTTCTTTGCTTAAAAAGAACCCTCATAGAACGGACATGTCTTCAGATTGGCCTATGCAGACTACTGAGGAAATCGTGACAACATTATGACATTTTGGCCTAAGATGTTTAAGATGTAATAAGCAACTCATGATTTGTGAGGCACAATGTGTGACACAGAAGTCCAACTGCTGGCCATTTTAACTTAAGGGCAGCTAAGGGCTCCCCGCTTTGCTTCTGCAAACCTCACCCCTCGCCCTCCACCAGGCGGTCGTCACCAGCTGCAGACGCCCGCACCCCGGGTGCGAGGCAGCCCGCGCTTTTCCGCCCCCGTTCTGGGGGCCAAGGCCGACGCACCCCGACGCCTGGGCGCGCGCCCTAGGCACACGTGACGGTGTGGGGAGGGCAGTTTTCTTCCTCCCCTCCCCCTTCTGAAGTCCCGCCTCCTCTTGAGAGGTTACAGCTTTTTATTGCGCCACCAACAGAATGACCCCCGTCCAAGCCAATCAGAAATCTAGTCCTCACGTAAGACCCGCCCCCAATTGGTCCTCAGGTTCCTTCCCGCTCACACCGGAGTCACTTCCGAAGAGAGAGAACCGCCATGAAGAGAGAAGGGGGTGCCGCCCACCTCTGTTCCGACAGCCTCCCCGAGTCCCAGCAACAAGACGGCAACCACACACCCAACTTCTCCAGCCACAGCTCATGCCGCCGTCGCCAGCGGCGCCGACATGACAAGGCGCTGCATGCCCGCTAGGCCAGGTTTCCCCTCATCCCCAGCCCCGGGGTCGTCGCCCCCGCGCTGCCATCTGAGACCCGGTAGTACCGCCCCTGCTGCAGCGGGAAAGAGAACAGAGAGTCCTGGGGACAGGTACCGTGCAGAGGGCTTGAGAAGGGGCCGGGTCGCGGGGGCAAGGGTATGAGGGTAGGACTACAGACGGCCGCTCTTCAGTTCCCGCCATCCTTCGCGAGCTCCGGCCTTAGAGTTCCGGGGCCTGGCAAACCCTCGCCCCGCCTCCGCGCGGGGGCTTCTGGGAGTTGGAGTTTTCTTTTCTGTGGTTGGGGAGCTGTTCTTGGTCTAGTGACCGCCAGCCTGGATGGCTACGGAGAGCCCGCCTTTGGTAGAACGCTAGTTTTGTCCTTTCGGAGAGCTTGGCTGGGGCCCTAACTCCTTGATGCATATTTAGGTTGTTTTCTGTACGTTCGCAGTTCTGATCCTGTTGGTTTAGTATAAAMCTTTTTCTATATTGTGGGTGAAATTATGTAAGATGTGACGAAAAAAACCCACGAATTACTTTATAGTCCAGTGTATACGACAATTCATACCTTTAAAAAAGAGCATACAGATGTGGAATGTGATTGTTTTCTCTTTCAGTTACTTTGTGCCTCTCCAAGAGGCCAATTTTTTTTGTAAAGATTGTGTGGGAGCTATGTAATGAGATGGGGAGTTTTATCAAATGACATCCTCTGACAATAAAACATACTTAAATTCTCTACGAACTTGGTACTGTCTTTTATTTTACGTTTAAAAGCTTGTAACGATTTTAACAGTAAATTCATGGTCTGATATTGTGGAACAGATCCACAATCCCTTGTCTTAATCTGAAAGCCAGCAAGTTAAGAAAATGAAACGTTTTCGTTAAGTTTTGACACCACATCTTATTTGGCAGTCAACCTTACCGAACTAATGTAAGGCTATTTATGGACTTTATTCCATTAAGTGTGAATATTAATAAGTTTTGCTGGAGAAATATTAATGTGCTTGATTACAGGTTGCAGCACTGGAAGCCACTGGGGACTTTGTATAATACATCAAATTATGTCCTTTCTAAAAGCAATAAAACACCCATTTGGCTCCAAAAGTTTCAGATAAGGGTTTGTGAAGCTGTTAAAAAAWTTTTTTTAACCAGTTATAAATAAGTAGTGGACACTTCTGTGCCAATGAGCTAAGGGAACTATTATCTCTTGAAAGTTACATTCATGGTATTTTTACAGGTTACTCATGTTTTATCCAAACTCACTTTTGTCTTACTTATGTATTCATTGAAAAGGAGCCTGAGATCTAATACTTTATGGGAAAGATACAATGTTATGTTTAGTAATTAAGATAAAACATTTAATATATCTTGTTTTGAATTAGCTGCATCTGCGTTTTTTTGCATCTCTCCTCCACCAGCAACAAGGAATCATGTTTCTCCCCTTTTAGACCCTCTATCTTTTCTTTCTTTACTCTGTGGTAAAATTTACCTAATACAGTTTATTTTCTGTAAATAAATGCATATGTTCCTCCATAACCTGTCACTCATATTCATCTCATAACCACTTAGGTTTTCCACCAATACCTCAAAATAAATATGGTGGACCTTCTCAATAAACCAGCAAAGGTGTACTTTTTGTTCTAACGTGACCAATAAAGTGTACAAGGTTAACCTTGGGTTTGAATTGTTCAGGTTTTCACCGAGTAGTCCATCTTCATAGTGTATAAGTGTTTAGAGAAACTGGCAGTCTATGCTTATTTTCTTTCAACAAAATGAATACATTTTAGCAAAATTTGCCAGAAGTTTTTGTTGTTCTGGTATGGGGAATTGAAACCTGGAGTGCTTCATTATGAGCTGCATATCCAAACTTTTTAAACCAGAGGCACTCTACCACTGAGCTACTTCCCCAGACCTTTTCCTTTTTTGAGACAGCGTCTCTCTAAGTTGCCTAGGCTGATTTGAACTTGTGATCCTCCTGCTTTAGCTTTTTGAGTATCTAAAATTACAGGCATGTGCCACCATACCTGACCAGAAACTTAATTTTTTTGCTCTGCATATACCATCTCCCGGCCCACCCCCCCCCACCCCGGTTTTTTGTTTTGTTTTTTTTTTTTTTTTGTGGTGCTGGGGATTGAACTTGTGCGTGCTGGGCAAGCACTCTACCAAATGAGCCACATCCCCAGTCCCAATATCCTCCTTTTTGTATCTCTAAATATGTGAACAAATCAGAACACAAATTCTGGCAATATAGTCCTATTTCATTTTGTGCCTAATTTAAGATGCAGAAGTCACTAAAAATTAAGCAATTTGTTTTTATTATTTTTTACCTATTAACTTTCTTCTTGTTTTGCTTTTTTCTTGGTGTTATTTTTGAGAATATCCTAAGGATTCTTATATGATAAAATAAAAAAATTTGAACCACTAGTTGTAAAGTCTACAATTTTTGCTATTGACACCTTACTGTAGTGTATAAAGAGAGTAGTATGAGCTTAGCACTTGATTCTTTCTGCCTTTGCCTAGCACATTCTTCTTCAATTTTAAATACCAAAAAARTTGAAATAAACATTCTTTAATAACTGCCTCCCCAGATCAACCAGATCACTCATACTACCATCCTACCATTTGCTTTCTAATCTCATTGTGAGATTCTGTTTAGTTTTAGTTCATTTTTACAATCTACATTTTTCATTTGGATTTTTGAGTGCTATTTTGTATGAATCACTAGAGAATACCAATAAACAGAATAAGATGCCTATCCCTATGATCTTCCATTCTACTGAGTATCAATCAGTACTAAGAAGCACTCTACACCAATTCTCTGGACTTACACTCCAATCTTACTACTTTAATAATACTATAGATTATATAGATCTTAGTTGTGTTAAGCTCATGTAGAGTGATGAATTTTCAATAATTTTTCAGCTTAGCAAAGCATGAYTGCCATATTTAAACCAGATAGTGAAATCTAGCTAATATTCTGTAAATCTAACATTTTTCATTTAATCTGAATTTTTGAGATTTTAATATTTGCTTATGTGATACAATATTAGTTATGCTTTTATTTTCAGGAAGCAGTCAATTATAGATTTCTTCAAACAAGCTTCAAAACAAGGTATGTATACTGTTAATACTTTTGGGGGGGCTGTTTTGGAGGTTAAGAGAGAGATGGGTTCAATTTTAAACCTACTCTAAACTTTGATTAAACATAGTGTTCAAAATTGAAAATAATAATGTTTTAATGAGATACAGTTTTTTTTAAACAAAGATAAACAAGTTCTAAACAGTCTTTTTGCTTTTATACGTTCTTGCATTATACCATAAAATGTGTATTTTTACCCATATATTATTTGTTTGATAATTTTTGTGATAACTAATGCATTTAAGTATTTTTACCTTTGATAATTAAGATTAATATAAAGCATCAGTTGTGTTATTTTTAATGTGTTTTAATTGGCTATTCAGATAGACATATGTTGGATTCTCCACAAAAATCAAACATCAAATATGGAGGAAGTGGATTGTCCATCACTGGGACAGAGCAATTTGAAAGGAAACCATCCTCACCAAAAAAATCTAAACCCAAAAGGGTGTCATCAGAGAAAAGTCCTATTTTAGAAGCTCTCATGAAAGGTGTTAATAAAGAGCATCATAAAGATCGTGATGTACATGAGTCACGTCGACCTTGTGTGTCACTAGGCTCCAAATATTTATCCAAAGGAACAAATATCTATGTTCCTTCTTCATATCRCTTGTCAAAAGAGATGAAGTCACTAAAGAAAAAACATCGGTCTCCAGAGAGAAGGAAATCACTGTTCACTCATGAAAATAGCAGGGAGAAGAATGATAGAGATCGAGGCAAGGCGAATTCAGACTCTAAAAAGCAGGCCATGGTGAGAGAAGCCGAAATCTTCAAGAATGGCTCCAGAAGTCTTAGTAGCCGGAGCAGCCTATCCAGACACCACCCAGGAGAAAGCCCATTGGGAGCTAAGTTCCAGTTGTCACTAGCTTCTTACTGCAGAGAACGGGAGCTGAAGAGGTTGAGAAAGGAGCAAATGGAGCAAAAAATCAACTCAGAAAATTCTTTCTCTGAAGCAAGCAGTCTTTCCTTAAAATCTTCTAGCATGGGAAGAAAATGTACACCGAGGCAGGAACAAAGTAAACATAATGATGTCATACCTGGAAAGAGTAATCTTTCAAATCTGGTATGTGCGATAATTACTGAACTAGTTTTCCCACTACTGTATCAAAGTATTTAATAATTGTGATGTGTTAATTTTTTTTCTTTAAATATTTGTTTTTAGTTACAGGTGGATACAATATCTTTACGTGGTGCTGAGGATCAAAYCCAGTGTGCCTCACGCATGCTAGGCAATCGCTCTACCTTTAAGCCACAATCCTAGCCCTATATATGTTGATATTTTTAAGGAAATACTGATACACAGTTTGTGTAGAAGCCGTTTTCATTAGGTTTCTTCCAACGGTCCTTCATTAAATTCTTCCCTTAATTTTTTCAGAGCAGGAACAAAGATCTTTTTAAGGAAAGTAGCATTTTTGAACTTTTAGGCAAGTAAAACTGTTTTTAAGTTAGGATATGCTGAAGGGAGTTATTCAAGGAATGGCAAATCAAAGATAACAGAAAATGGTTTAGAGCACTGATTCTCAGAATGTCCCCTGGAGCAGGTGCAGCATTACCTGGGAACTTGTAGGAATGCAGTCTCAGATCCTACCCCAGGCCCACTAAAATCAAAAACTGTGGAGATAAAAGCCCAGCAGTCTTCAATTAATGAGCCTTCCAGATGCACCTTAAAGTTTAAGAAGCAGTGGTTTAGATTGTATATTGTGTATGGGTCTTGGAAAACGGATGATGAGGATGATTTGAAAATTATCCACATTCATCTTATCTCAGATTTTTCTTTTTTACATAGAGTGAATTTAGATTAGCATAAAAGCTATACCTTTCTCCAGAAAAAGTCAAGTTTAATTTCAGAGTGCTTCTCACAGAGCAAATAAAGAAAAGTCAGATGTCAAAATGGAATATTGATAAGTTGAACTTTTAAAACCAGACAGGCCACAAATAAACTATGACATTCCAGGAATAAATAGAGATTGGTGCTTTGTGCATTACTGTTTGCAAGAAGTTTGTTGTCTTTATCAGTGAGATTTGTTAATGGTCAACATAAGTAAGATTTGGACCATTTTTATAGATTTCAGTGTTTGGTGGTACTTTAGACCTTAAACAGAAGTATCAAAGAGTATATTATATTTTTGTAATATAAATGCCCTACTTTTTATTTATTTAGCTCTCAGTAGTAGAGCTCTTGCCTGCTATGCTGAAACCCTAGGTAAAGCAAAAGCTCTACCTTGAGCTACATCCCCAACCCATACCTTCATTTTAAATCTTAAGATCTTTAAACATTTTATTTAGAACTTAGATGTTACCTCCAAATACAGATATTTCCTTTATTTAGACTAGAAATCTATGTTTTAAATGTTAGGAAGAAAAGTTCATATTTATCTCCCAATTTCCTAATTATTATTTTTTTTTTTCATTTTCCAAATAGGAAAATGGACATCTCTCAAGAAAAAGATCCTCTTCTGATTCATGGGAACCTAATTCAGGTAGAATCAAATTTAAATTTGCAAATTATTAGATAAATTTGCAGCTTAGTGGTACTGCTTTTTAAACAAATCTGCCTAAATATTCAGTTCCCTTCCTAGAAATCAACTAAGTGTTTCAGGTTAATTAGTTAAGATTTTGGTAAAATTATATTTAAAAAAAGAATAGTCCTTGAATTTAGCATGCATGTCCTCTTGACAGTTCTGTCTCTCCACAGTCATTTCTAACAATGTGTATTTCATTAGTATTCAGTGTTCTATTTCTGAATCCATGGATACAACAAGAAGCTTAATCCTATATTCTTGGAATTGTGAGGGGAGGGGCTCTTGGTGTTATGTTGAAGATACTTTATATAGGGTTGAAACTACTAATCATGATTCAAAATAGTGTTTCTTAATTTTTCAAATACGAACATGCCTTTTAAATATCAATTTTCAAGGACATTTTTAAGATAAGTGTTCTGTATCTAAAAGTACTGAAAGTATCTACTGACTGAGAAAACACATAGTTACTGTTAACTCAGTAATTTAAAGTATCTTTTTTTGACTAGAAAATAGAACATTAGAATTCAAACCTGCAGAAATATATGACATGGAAAATGAAAGTCTACCAGAAATAATAACTGATGGGCTGGGGTTATGGCTCAKCGGTAGAGYGCTCACCTCACATGTGCGAGGTCCTGGGTTCGATCCTCAGCACCACATATAAATAAATAGTTATTGGGTTCAAATACAAAAATAAATATTTAAAAAAGTAATAATAATAATAACTGATAAAACTTGGTATATATACCTACTGTAAATGCAAACTTTGAAAACTGAACTTTAGTTTCTATTCAGTAAAATACAATGGATATGATGATAATAGTTAACATTTATTGAGCACTGACTATGTGCCAGACTTTATTCTTTGTGAAATTAAAAATACAAATGGACTGGTGGCTTTGAAGGCTAAAGCAGGAGGATCATGAGTTCAAARCCATCCTCAGCAAAAGAGAGGCTAAGCAACTCAGTGAGCCCCTTTCTCTAAATAAAATACAAAATAGGGCTGGGGATGTGGCTCAGTGGCTTAGTACCCCTGAGTTTAATCTCCCATACCCCCAAAAAATTACAAATGGAGCTTGGCATGTTGGCACACACCTGTAAATCACAGTGGCTCAAGAGGCTCAGGCAGGAAGATTGCAAGTCAGTCTGAGCAATTTAGTGAGACTTGAAGCAACTTAGTGAGACCATGTCTCAAAATGAAAAATAAAAAGGTCTGGGTATGTGGCTCAGTGGGTAAGCACCCCTGGGCTCAATCCCCTGGTACCAACCCCCCCCCCAAAACAAACAAAAAAACCAAACAAATGGTATGTCTTGTCTATCTTACTGGTATTCCATTTATCATATGTGATGACATATAAAATCACATGATTATTATACTCACACAAGTATAAGAATTTTAGAAATGTTGGTAGAGTAGGCATTTAGCTTTTTGGTTCTCCAGGGCCTTGTCCTTTGGTTGCATTCTTGAGGTCAAATTTAATCCATCTCTAGTATCTTTGATAATTTATTAATAACCAATCTCCTATTAGTGAACATTGAATATTTTTTTATGAACTCAATTCCAAATCCCTTATTAATGTAAATTAGAACCAGGTCCAGCGATTTGGGAAGCTGAGGCAGGAGGATCACAAGTTCAAGGCCAGCCATAGCAACTTAGTGAGACCCTGTCTCCAAAAGGGCTGGAAATGTAGCTCAGTGGCAGAACACTCTTGGGTTTGATTCAGTACTACAGAGAAAAGAAAAAAAACATTGGCTTTTTCCTTTTCTTAAAAACTCAATCTCTCTTTGAATATTTTATATATTACCGGACACTGAAAAAAGTGTAAACAGTCTATAGCACTACAAGGAGTGTCAAAAAAAAAACATGGAAATTTTGCAATTAATCTGCCCTTGAAATCTTACAAAAGGGGAGCCTGCTTGTAGTACCAGTTTATTTCCATCTAATTCTAGATTTTTTAAAAAACTGACTTGCCCTAAACATTTTCTTAAAATATTTTTTTGATCATCAATGGATATTTATTTATTTATTTATTTATTTATTTATATGTTCTGAGGATCTAACCCAGGGCCTCACACATGCCAAGCAAGCGCTGTACCACTGAGCCACAATTCCAGCCCCTAAGTATTTTCCATAAACAGTTTGCATATCCTCTTGGATAAGTCCTCATTTTAATTCATTTTTGCCTATAAAGATCATATTTTCAAGATCACATTCTGTGGTGCTGGGCATCAGATAATATGTTATTTTGTGGGGACACAATGCAACCTATAACATGGCTGAAGACTAAAGGGATATATGGGGAAGAATAAATACTAATTAACTACTGAGGGGGAACATGGGTAAATTTATTTTTAAATGAGAAATTTAAATCTATAAGTCTGCCTTGCTGGACAGTGGCTCAGGAGGCTGAGGCAGGAAGATTGCAAGTTCAAGGCCAGCCTCAGCAATCTAGTGAGGTTGTAAGCAACTTAACAAGACCCTGTAAATAAAAYGATATATTATTTTTATTTTAAAAATAAAAAGCACTGGGAATGTGGCCCAAGGGTTAAGCATCCTAGGTTCAATCCCTGGTACCAAAAATTAATAACAACATAATAATCTATCTGCAACTACTTATCCTTTATGTATCTGAAGGTACTATACTTTTATTAATTTATTTTTGTAGTATTGGGGATTGCAAGTGCTCTATCACTGAGCCACATTCCCAGGCTGGTGCAATACTTTTAAATATAGAAGTGTTATTCTGTAACAAGTTAGTCCTGTAATTGAAAGAATATCCAAAGTGCTTTTAAAACCCTTTCATGGGTATAAATATGGGTTTTTTATGTTTTAGGGAGTGGTGACTTTAATTCTACTAAGGTAGTGAATGTTTAATAGCCTTGGAATGAAAGTGAATGTTTGTTATTAGCTCTAAATTTCTTGGATACCAGTATCTATCAATTGATAAATAAATGGCTCTTTGCTCATTCCATATATGATGAATAATCTCAGCCTATAGTATTAAAACTTAAACATTTTTTCAGTGTATTCTAGATACTTAGTGAATAAGCTGAACTCAGGACAGTATACTTTTCACTAATCTGAAAAAAAATTACTTTTAGCAGGTTCTAAGAATAAATTCCCTGACAAGAGAAAAAGGAACTCTGTGGACTCAGATCTGAAAAGCACAAGAGAATCTGTAATACCGAAAGCAAAAGAGTCCATCCTTGAGAAGCGTCCTGACGGACCACATCAGAAAGAAAAATTTATAAGACATATTGCACTGAAGACACCTGGTGGTGTGCTGCGCTTGGAAGATATATCCAAGGAACCAAATGATGAAACTGATCACTCCTCCACAAGCTTAGCACCTTCAAATTCTGGCTACCATTCTTCTAGGAATAGTGACCAAATCCATGTGGCAAGTACCAAAGAGACTAAGATACAGAAACCCCACTTATCKTTACCTCAGGAAAAATCTACAATTAAAAAGGCTAGCAACCTTCAGAAAAATAAAACTGCTAGCTCTGTGACATCAAAAGAGACAAAACTTCTACCTTTGCTCTCCCATGTTCCAAGTGCTGGTTCTTCTCGGGTACCATTAAATGCTAAAAATTGCACTCTTCCAGTTCCTAAAAAAGATAAAGAGCGTTCCTCATCTAAAGAATGTTCTGGGCATTCTACAGAATCCTCCAAACACAAGGAACACAAAGCAAAGACTAATAAGGCTGATTCTAATGTATCTTCAGGGAAAATTACTGGGGGATCTTTACGTTCAGAATGTGGCACTTCTACAAAGTCTCCCCCAGCTGTTTTGGAAGTTGTGCCATGTATCCCAAGCCCTACAGAACCTTCAGATAAAACCCCTTCAGATAAAGAGAGTTCAGGAAATTCCAATGCAGGTAGCAGTGCACTGAAAAGAAAATTAAGGGGTGATTTTGATAGTGATGAAGAAAGTTTAGGTTATAACCTAGACAGTGATGAGGAAGAGGAAACCTTAAAATCACTGGAAGAAATAATGGCCTTGAACTTCAGTCAGACTCCTGCAACTTCAGGAAAGCCTCCTGCTCTTTCTAAGGGGCTTAGATCTCAGTCATCAGACTATACAGTAAGTAGTTCTGTAACATTTATATTTACTTGAAAAGATGGATTAGTGAAGGAAGATAGGTTGTTAAAACTTACTTTAAAATTCAGTATTTATTATAACTCCTAGTTAGACCAAAACTAGTATAATTCTTGTTTAGTAATTGAGTTTCCCATATCTTTAGTTTTATTACTGTTAATCAGTGGTCTCCAAGCTTATTTGATCACACTTTTTTAGTAAAAAAAAAAATTTGAGCATGTACCCCAACATATATATGTATACTGATAGATTATATACATGTACCACTATAATAATATTGTGTACTTTCTAAAGCATATGCAAAAACAGAATTTAAAAAGAAAGAAAAAAAAGTATTTTCCTATTAAAGTTATATAGAAGTTACTATAGAGTAAGTTCTATTGGAGTTTCTATAGAAGTTCCATATAAATAGAAGTTCTATTATTTTCTTCCTGCACCCCAATGGATCACCTTGCACACCCCCTGCTTTGGAGACCACTGCTGTAAATGAAGGTAGAGTGTAGAAATGTTGTTAATTGTGGTGTGCAATTTTATTTATAAATTGCTTCATTCTATCTTGGGAGTAAGCTGAATTCTAATTGTCTGTAAAATTTGGTGGGGAAGGTGTTTATATTCCATGGTAACACCTAAAGATTAGTTTGGTTTCACTAAAATAAAACTTAGAAGTAAAGATAGGGTAACTATAGAGCCTTTGGATGTTTACAAKCAGATCCTAAGGCTAGCAGGGTTTTATAAGCCATACCTTTCCTAATAGATGATAAAAGCAAATTGCCTGCAGTATAAAATACTAGATTTAAAGCATGAAAATTCTCCTTTAAGAAAGGTCTCACCCTGGCCTTTGTTATTGAAATAGAAAGTAATCTTTAGTACTCAGAATAGCTTAAAACACCTCAGATCTTCTATGAAGATATGTTGTAAAGGATTTCTGAATTTTCTTCTTGTTTTAGGAGTATGTTCATAGTGGAACTTATACAAATACTTTAGACCGTCTAGTGAAAGAGATGGAAGACACACAAAGGTTAGTTAGCATCATGATTAATTTACTAAATGTAACATACTATTGTTTGTATGACCGCCTTTTAATTTTTGTCTTTTAAGAAAAAATAGCATACATGCTGTGTTAGTACCTTTATAACAATAGTTCTATGTGAGCTGTGTTAGAAATAAGATGGGTTCTCTTGTTCATAGGCTGGATCAAAAGATCCAGGTTTTGCAGGGCTGGGGATGTAACTCAGTGGTAGAGTATGTGCCTAGCATGCCCTGGCCCTGCATTCGATCCCCAGCACCACCAAAAAAAAAAAAAAAAAAAAAAAAAAATCCAGATTTTTATACTTTATTGTATATTACATTAACTAATAGATCCCATTCAGCTTATCAGTAGTATCTGATAATGGAAATCCTTAATAAAAAGAATGGATAGAATTTATTTTGAAGTGTACAGTAGTTCAGTTCATTTAAGTACATTGACATTGTTTTGCAAACATTGGCGCCATCCAGCTCCAAACTTTTTTCATCTTCCCAAACTGAAACTATACCCAGGAAACTAATTGTCCATACTTCCCTCTGCCCTTGGCAACTACCATCCTATTTTCTATTTTTATGAAATGGACTGTCTAGCTAGGTATTTCATAAAAGGAGGATCATACAGTGTTTGTCCTTTTATGACTGATTTATTTCACTTGGTGTTCATTGTTCATTGATGGTGAAGAATTGTCCAAATTTCCTTCTTTTTAAGGTCAGTTATTCTATTGTATTATGTATAGATCATATTTTGTTTGTTTATCTATTCATTTGTCAATGGCCACATGTTATATCCACTTTTTGGCTATTGTGAGTAATGTTGCTGTGAACATGAATGTACATGTATCTTATGTTCCTGCTTTTAGTTCTTTCATGTATATATCCTAAGTTGACTTGCTGAATCATAAGGTAATTGTTTCATTAGGGGGGAACTGCCACACTGCTTTCCACCTGCAATGCATAAAGCTTTCCTGTTTCCACATAGTCTAATTATTTTTTCATTTTGGATAACAGCCATACTAATGGGTATGAAATAGTAACCCCTTATGATTTTGGTTTGTGCTTCTCTGATGACTAAAGATGTTAAATACCTTTTCATGTGCTATTGAGCCTTTGCATAGTTTCTTTGGAGAAATACCAAAGATCCTTTGCCTATTTTTAATTAGATTATTTCATGTTTTTGTGATTCACACAGGAAAAATGAACATTAGTATGTACACCAACTCCAAGCTTTGAGGTTAATAACCAGACATGGTATTTCTACATCAAAGTTACTCTTGAATAGCTGCAGATTATGATGAACATCCCTCCTCTCCACTGCCTACCTCCCACAAAGCAGAAAGTTGAGGATCATAATTTTTTCTAATGAAATTTATGTGACTAGATAGAGACCTGATGTTGCTAATGAGAGGGGGGAAATACATTCCTTATTAATTTCAAGGAATATCCGTGAATCCAGAGCACTTCACTTAAAAGTTCAGCTGACTTGCCAGACATGGTGGGGCATACCTAAAATCCCAATTTCTCAAGAAGCTGGGGCAGCTGAGGCAAGAGGATCACAAGTTCAAAGCCAGCCTTAGCAACTTAGTGATGCCCTGTCTCAAAATAAAAAGGGCTGGGGATATGGCTCAGTGGTTAAATGCCCCTGGGTTCAGTCCCCAGTACCAAAAATAAATAAATAAATAAGCAAGCTGACTTGATAACATAGAAGTTGGTATATATGTATYTCAAATTTGATAACCAAATAGCTAATTATAGGAATTACAGATAATTAGCAGGTCAAAAGTTTYTCTCTCTCTGAATTTAATTAGAGAAATTGTCTCTTATAAAGTTCTTTAAATGTTTTGTGAACTCATAGGATGAATCTAAAGTTGTTTGGTTGGGTTTTGGTGTCAGGGGTTGAACCCAGGGTACTTAATCACCGAGTGACATTCCCAGCCCTTWTTATTTTTTATTTTGAGTCAGGATCTCACTAAGGGGATGGTTTAGGATGGCTAAGTTGCTGAAGCTGCCTTTGAACTTGCAATCCTTCTGCCTCAGTCTCCCAAGTGCTGGTTTATCATCACAATACCTAACCCTTACTAAGCACTTAGTAC